CCTGAGGCCGAGTCCCACATACAGCAACTAGAAGGATGTGCAGCTATGACATACAACTATCTACTGGGGCTTTGGGGGGAAAAAATAAATAAATAAAATCTTTAAAAAAATAAAATAAAATAAAATAATTGGGATAACTTGCTGACCTAAAAGATCAACTAGACAAGAAAAAAAGAACAGAAAACCCAGTGTCCATAATAATTTCCTATCTGAAGGTGAAAAGAAAAAGTATGATTACCTTTGCTAAATCTATCACAACTTCAGGGAGCTTGGGATAGCGCCTTTCAAGAGGTTCTGTTCCTTGATTTCAGGCAACCTTACTCCAGCAAACGCAGGATTTTTATAAAAGAGCTCCTGATGTCTTGGAATTAGATTACCTGGAAGTGAGAACGTCACACATCTCTGTCATTGTACACCATAATAGAAAGGGCAAAGAAACAGGGGATGTGGAGTAGAGAAAAGAACAGAACACAGCTTATGGAGTTGGGCTCTCTCGGCAGGCACAATCAGCCAGACAGTACGCTTATTGTGGTGCCACCTGGCAGTCTTTCATAGGGGTTTTGACATAAGTTACCTCAAGGAAATTAACATTCTTATCTCAACATACTCATTTAGAAAAGTTCACATACATAGAACTGAAGACATGAGGAAGCATAAGAAAAGGAGAGCCGAAGAACATTTTATAATTTTTCAGATATAAGTACCAGCACTTCATATCTAACAACAAAGCATAAAGTGCTGACCAAAACAACGAAAATATTAACAGTCATACGGTCAGAATCTAATCTGTATAAATCAGTTCCACCCTTTAAGAATTTAATTTTTAGTCAATTGATTTTATACTTGTATCTAAGGTCTGATATGAACACTTTCACCCTTTTTCTCAACTTTAAAACCTAATTTAGTATAAAATATATACAAAAATTCTGCTGTAAGAAACCATTGTACTGTTTATTGAATTTCTAACCTGGAAATTTAAATCCAATAGTTAAATAACCCCTAAGTATTTCCCATTATTTCCATTTTCCAAGCTCCATCTCCCAACATAAAGGTGATCTTTCAACAAATATAAAAAGACTTTGATAGTCTAGTTTTGAAATTTTATCCAAAGCACTAACAACAAAAATCAGACAGGCAGCAAGATTAAACTACCTTGGAAGTAACTCTCTGTGTCTCTCAATCTGAAGGTGAGGATGAGGGTAATAGTCATAATACACCAAATGCTTGCTGACCCAAAGATAATAAGTGATCATTTGCATCCTCTCTACAGGTGATTTATTGAATGCAAAAGTGCAGAGAAATTTAGAGGGGAGTGGGGGGGGGGAAGCATGATTAAGACCTTATGTCAGATAGACCAAAGCCAGACTGAGAATGAATGAATGGAGAGAGAGAGAAAGAGAGAGAGCGAGTGAGAGATACATGAGGTTTTCCTATTTGCTCCCTACCTCCACTTAAAACACATATCATCTTTAATATACCAACAGTTTGTAAAATAGATACAAACAAAAACATAGGAAAAAACTTCTAAAATTTAAAATGCAGATGTATAATCTTACCTAAACACACCATAATATGATATAGCTGATCAATATCAGAATCTCCAGGGGAGAGGGGCTCCCCCATGAGCATTTCCGTTACCAGACAGCCAATGGCCCACACATCAACAGCCCTGAAAGAAAATCAACGTTGTGTAAAATGTGGCATCCTAATGTGTTTACTGTCACCAAATCTGTTCTGCATATTACTATTTGGTATTTTGAGAATAGTAGTAGTAAGTCTTAAATTACCCATAAAAAGACATTTCCCTATAAACTTAAAGTACCAAACCCCAATTTTACACGTCAGATTTCCAGAAACTTCAATTACATGACACAAGAAGGAAAAGGCTTCTGAAAAATAAAAACAGTTATTATGTGTACTTTACTTTGGAATAACCCTTTTGGGTTTCCATTCAGAACCTATTAATTCTTTGTTTACATATAATTCTAACAAGGTTGATCAGTCTATCCCACCATACACTGAAAACAGCACACCAGAAGGAGGTGGTTGGGGACACATACACTAACAACAAGGAGAATTGAAAGCTAACAGGGAGACAATAGAAAAACTATCTCAAAAAGCAGTCACAAGAACTTAAAGAAAAATAGGCTAGCGTTATTAGCACAGGGACAACTACCTTGAAATTGCTTATCATAGCTGAATTATAAAATGGTACAAAAGTTCAGTACAGCAGTAAAATGAGAATTTAGGCAAGAAAACATTAAATGATGTGTATTCTGAAAACAGAGAAACTGTAGAAAATATATTAGAAAGATTTCTATCAAAAGCACTAAAAGTTACAGTCCCTTCTTTGAAGAATTCATTCATGAAGACACTTTATGTTTTAAAAAGTCACACTCAGTTATGTTCTCCCCCCACTCTTGCCCACTCCACCTCACCTCATTCCAACAGTGTCAGACTTATCCAATCAATGGTACCTCTCTTTACATGTGATAAATACATCTTTTTCCAACCCACTGTAAGAAATAGACCACTTACTCACCTTGATTTCCCTACTTTTAAAATAAGTATACTCACCTCAATTGGTTTCACAAGAATGTTTAAAGTTTCCTAAACTCAAATCTTCCTTTCAGTGTTAGAGGGATCGTTTATTATATTATAAACATATTCCATTTTATCAAGAAAAGAGAGTTAAGTCCGCCCTTCCCCCCTGCCCTTGTTGATGTCTTACTTGCCATACTTGACATCACCAACCAATAGTTCTGGAGCTCTGTACCATCGCGTTGCCACATAATCAGTATAGACCTCCCCAGGAGCTGCCAATGTCCGTGCAAATCCAAAATCACATAACTTGACAACACCAGACTGGAAGACTAATATATTCTCAGGCTTTATATCTCTGTGTATGATCTAAGACAAAAAGCAGAGTATGACATATATTGGCACATCAAGTTAAGCAAATTATTTTTTGAGCACCTGCCATGTGCAGCACATTGTTTTTGTCCCTACAATGAATACAAATAAAAGCATATAAAATTGTTCCTGGCTTTAAAGAACCTGGTATCTAGTTGGGCAAGAAAAAACATTTATGCCTGAAATTTTATTTAAACAATCAAAGATATTGGATGAAATATATATTATTACTTACTAAATCAATTGCTCTGTTAATGACTGCTCTCAAGACTAAGAGAGTAAAGCTATCATTGAAGACTGGGGTGGTCAAGAAAGATTTTTATGAAAGGGTTGTGTTCTAAGATAGATCGTTAATACCAAGCATGACTTGGATAAATGTAGAAATGGAAGGGCAATCCAAGTGAAGGTAACAAGGAGAGCAAAAGAGCGAAGATGAGAATAGATCAAGAGACTCTGGGGAAATGTTTTCTCTAGAGCAGAGGTTAGTACTAGGGAGGAAGGATGCCTCAACTGCTAGTCTGGAAAGTCTGAGCTGGTGTCAAGGCCATGGGAACCCATGGAAGTGACATAACCAATACGGTGTTTGAAGAAAATGTTGGCCATAAACAAGCTAAATCAGAGAGAGGGACTAGGGGCAGGGAGAAGAGCAGTGGGACAATGAGGAGGTGATAAGGACCTAAACTAGGCTGGTGCTCAGAGGAATGGAAAGGAAGAGATACAGCTTAGAAATATTTTAAATCAAGAATCAATAGAATTTAGGAAGTAATCTCAGATATTTCATTTAAACCTGGAATCTAAAAGAATGGTGGCTCCATTACCAAAAATAGAAAAGTCTAGAAAAAATTAGTTTTGATGGGATAATTAGTAGTTTAGTTTTAGCCACACTGGTTTTTAGGTGGATTGCTGAGCACCCAAGTGGAGGCATTCATCAGGCAATTAGAAATGTAAGTAGGGTAAAACAAGGTCACTGGTTAAGATTTCTAAAGGAGATACTATGGAAGGAGAAAAGAGGACCCTGGGAGACAATACTAAAAACTCTACAGCTAGACAAAACAAATTATTAGGCCTAGATCTCTAATACAAGTAGATTGTATTTTGAAAAATTTAAAAATATATTTATTTTAAACTCTTTCAGAGGACTAGCATTCTAAATGGCAATCTGCATTGCTGAGCATTTTGCATAGGCTACCAACTTCTATTACATCCTACACATCCATGGTGAGGTCACAGGGCCAGCCCCACAACTACCATTAGCATTTAATACTTTTACAATCACACAAAAAATGTCATTTAAAATATTTTGTAAAATTGGCAGAATCAATGTGTTGAGTTATTCATAAGTGTCATTTTACCTAGAGGTGCTTTTAGATGATACTCGAAGGATATAAAATTATTGTGGTACACAATAGGGTAAGAGCAGGAATTTTCATACTTCACAACTAGGCAAAGAATCTGAACTAACAAATACATGGATCCTTGGCCATAAGCATTTGTCAAAACTCATTACTTAAAATTTGTGCATTTCACTCAGCAAATGTTACCTCAAAAAAAAAATCAGCAAACAAATATTAAACTCTAGTTAATGATACACATAGCTGAAGTATTTAGAGTTGAAGTGTAGTTCTGATGTCTGCAACTTACTTTCAAATGCATAAATGAATAAGACAGATTGGTAAACGGATGAATAGATGAATAAATGTCATAAAGTAAATAGAGCAAAATATTAACAAGTATAGAATCCAGTTGGTAGGTATATGGTTGTTCATTGTACACCCTTTCAACTTTTCAATATGGCCTAAAATTTTCATAATAAAATGTTGGGGGAAAGAATACTTGTATTACAATATGTGAAAATTGGCAATATCAAAGTAACATAATTCATTTCAATTACTTTACTGGTCCAAACTTTAGTTTAAACAAATGTCTCATTAAGTGACTGTATCTGGAGAGTCAATCATTGGCAAAATATTTAAATTAAATACTTACATTGTGACTGTGACAAAATCCAATTCCATTAATAATCTGAAACAAATACTTTTGAACTAGTTGGTAGTCTAGTCCATTTTGAAAGAGTTCCAAGTCATCAAGAATTGTATGGTCAACAAATTCGAAGACCAGGTACCAATGCTCTTTTTTCTTACACACTTCCAACAGATTCACCAGATTTTCATGCCTCAGTTGCTGTTATAAAAAAAATGCAAAATAGTTTTTATAAGACCAAATTATTAGCAATTAGTCACAATCTAAAATAGATCTTAGCATAAGAAAAACATCTAAATAAAATGCATGGAGTGTAAATTGTAAAAAGTATGTTCTGGTTTTTAAATTATAGTCAAAAGACCACACTGCTCCATCCTCCTCTCAGAGAACACAACAAAGCCAATGAGGAAAAAAAACTGTAGCTCCATCTTTGATGAGACTAAGTAGGATCTATGACCCTACCCATCACAAATGAGGTGGGACTGCCAAATGTCAAGGTCAAACAGGAATGTAGAAAGATACCAAGAGATCATCTATGGCTACAAAGCTGGCAGAGCTGAGTTCTCCAAAGTTGGTGACATACCCTGAAAAGGAAAAATAAACAAACCTTCTTTGATATAATGAGAACAGGGTTCATGGGCTGTCAGTGAAAGCATCTGTAGAACTGAATGGCACCAAGGAACAGTAGGGGAGGGGAGCCTGAATAATCACACAGAAACTCATTTGCTGGAAGCAATCTGTCAATGAGGCTGAATGGAAGGCAAAACAATTCATTATGAACAAACTTGCAACTACAAGCTTCGGAGAAATTAGTATAACAGAAGTCAATCCCACACTCAGGCTCGTGTTGTAAGGAATATCATTTGAACATGGTGGATTCCTGGTAGCCTGGAACAAGATCAGGCCTTCTCCCTCAAATGAACCTCCTACAAATAGCTGGTCCAGGGAGGGCTCACTTTGTTACAAGATAAGAAACAATCAAAAAGGAACCAATCCAGGATCTATTTAAAGATACTATAAGAAAAGAGGAAGTAAGGATAAGGAAACACAAATGACAGATTCACCAGAAAATATTGCTACATTTAAAGGGAAAGAAATCACTAGACTATAGCCCTCAAAATCCTCAAGGATCCAGGAACTTTACACCCAATGAAATTGTTATTCAAGTAAAAGACAACAGAGAAAAATTTTTGAACATGAGCAGTGAATCTATTAGTGCAGAACTAAGTCTTATAGTACATATAAGACTATAAGTGGGCATCATGGTTACAACACAAAAATAGGATATTAAAAAGCTAACAATGCACAAATGATATTACTAACAAATTTAGGAGAAAGAAGAGAAGTTCTAAACAAGATAAGAGTATATGTAGGCTGATTTCCCTGTCAATGGGTCAAAATTATATTTTTGACCTGAAATTTTAAATTACAAGGCTTAATTATATTTACAGGTTTAATGGTAAACACTAAGATAAATAAGATATCTTCTAAAATCAGATGTGGGTGAGTGGGAGAGAGAGGAAATAGAAAAATAATAATCACTTTATAAAGGATTAAGTATCTTATATAATGCCAAAGTTATAAAGGTAACAAATAATATAAAATAAAACCTTTCCAAATTACCAAAGGAAACATACCCAATATTTAAAAAGGAATTCAGAGACCATACAGAAAGATATTTTTAAAGGAGTATTAAAATAAAATAATATTATAAATAACAATAACTAATACTTACATAATGCTTACTATGTTCCAGGCATTATTCTAAGCACAAAAACTCTACGAAATAGGTACAATTATTATCCTGTTTTACAGATGAGGAAACTAAAGCACATAGAGGTTAAGTAACTTGTCCAAGGTCACACAGAAATAAATGGTAGAGGCAACATTAGAACACAGGAATTGTGGACTCTGTCTTTTCTCAAAAACATTTCATTTTTATTCAGTTCCTCCTTCATGTCCATAACATCTGCCCTGTAAAAACACCCAGACCTGCAGCTGATTTGTATACAAAATATTTAGATTTCTTATTCTTAACCACTAAGCTATATTGACTTTAGAGGGGCAAAAAATGAAAACTAGGACCAAACTTATCTGTTATAACTATAAATGTGCCAAACTCACCTATTAAAATAAAAGATTCCAGATTGGATCACAAAGCACTTTCCAAATATATTACTGGTTAAAAGAATTAAGGTATAATTATACAATGAAATAAAACACAGCAATTAAAAAGATGATAATATAGAAGAATATCCTCATCTCTAGGTAGGGAAAAACTTTTTAAGCCAGATATAAATGGCCAACCGTAAAAGAAAAGATTAAAAATTTGAGTACACTGAAATCAGCAACTTCTGTTTAGTAAAAGATAACATTAAGAGAGTGAAAAGAAAGCTTTTTAAGAAAATAATAGGTAAAACTAAACTATAGTGATTAGGAATGCATGTTTATTTGGTAAATGTGAAAAAAAATCAAGGCAGTGATCAACATGCAAGTAAGGATAGTGTTTACCTTAAAGAAGAGGGAAGAGTTAGTGACTGGGATGGTGCAAGAAAGGGCAATGTTGGCAATATTTTATTTCTTGACCTGGGTGGTGGTTCCATGAACGTTTGCTTTCCAATAACTCATTGGGCTATAATTATAGTTTTTTGCACTGTCTATATGTGGGCTATATTTCATAATAAGAAATCACTTAAAAATACAATACCCAAAATTAACAACTCAGTGATGGAGATTAATAACATACTGAGGAGAAAATCAGTGAACTAAATGATGGGTCAGAATAAAGTGCAGAAGAGTGCACAGAGAGACAAATAGATGGAAAGAAAAATAGGCAAGAGACAGAGGATTCGGTGAGAAGATTTAACATATGCTAACTGGCCAAAAATAGAGGAGAAAGGGAATGAGTTGACATAATATTTGAAGAAATAATACGTGAGAATTTTCCAGAATTAATAAAAGAAATCATAGATTCATGAAGATCCAATGAAGCAAGATATATCAAAAGATATCCACACTAGACACATCATAGTGAAACTGCATAAAAACAAACTCAAAGAGAAAAATTTAAGTGGCCAGAAAACAAAACTAACTTCTGCTGATTGGAATCAGGATAGTTGTGACCTGGGTGGAGGAGGAAGGCAGTAGTGACTGGAGAAGGCATAAGGGGGGCTTCTGAGGTGATTTTAATGTTCTCTTTCTTGACTTAGATGATGGTTACATGGGGTTGTTCAGTTTTTTAAAATCCATAGAAATGTATTCTTATGATACATACACTTTTCTCTATGTACATTATATGTCAATAAAAAGTTGAAAGAAAAAAAAGATCTAGACTTAAAAACTAAACTTAGAAAAGAGCAGCAACTGGACGAATAGCTAACTTCTCAAGAGCCACAATGGAAGCCAGAGGACAAAACAATGTTATCTTCATTTTGTTGAAAGAAAATAACTGCCAATCTGAAATTCCATTTACAGCAAAATATCTTTCAGGAATGACAGCAAATAAAGACATTTTCACACAAACTAAAATTGAAATGTTTTGTCTACATAGATCCTCACAAAAGGAAATCCTAAATAATGTATTTCAAGAAGAGAAGAGATCTCAATAAATGATCTGAGATGCAGAAAAGTCAGAAGAACAAAGAAAGTGGTAAATATAAATCTAAGTGAACACTGAACAATACTTATGCCTTGTGGTGTTTAAAAATATATGTAAAGGTTAATATATGACAATGTTAGCATATAAAATGGAAGAGAATAACTAGAGAAAAGTATTGTGAGGTTTTTTTGTATTGTCTGGAAGAAGGATAAAAGTATTGGATAATGTCAGATTTTAACAAATATCTAGGGTACCCACTAAAAAGATAGAAACACAATGTATAATTCTCAAATTATTAGAGAGAAATAAAGGAATGATAAGTGTAATCAATCTAAAGAAAGAAAAGAAAAAGAAATACAGAACCAGTAAGACAAATAACACATATTAAGATGGTAGATTTATACCTAAATGTATCAGAAATTACATTACATGTAAATGGACTAAATGTTCCAATTAAAAGGCAAAGATCATCCAGAAGCATAAAAAACAAAATGTAACTATATGATGCTCAAAAGAGACATATCTAAACAAGGATTGAGAAAAATTGAAAGTAAAAATATAGAAAAAGATATACAATGCAAACACTAACCAAAATTAAACTAGTGTAGCCTTATTAGTTTCAGACAACACAGACTTTAAGACAAAACATCACTATAATAAAAAGTTATTTCATGATGATAAAAGATCTGATTCAACATTAAGATATAATAATTCTAGGGGCTGGCACCGTGGCTTAGTGGTTAAGTGCACGCGCTCTGCTGCTGGCGGCCCGGGTTCGGATCCCAGGCGTGCACCGACACACCATTTCTCCGGCTATGCGGAGGCCGCATCCCACATACAGCAACTAGAAGGATGTGCAGCTATGACATACAACTATCTACTGGGGCTTTGGGGATAAAAAATAAATAAATAAAATTATAAAAAAAAAAGATATAATAATTCTAAATTTGATACACTAATAATACGGCCTTTCTGTTTATAAAGTTAAACATCAACTGAACTACAATGAAAAATAGACAAATCACTAATCACAGAGAAAGATTTTAACACATTTCTTCTCAGTACTGGATAGAACAAGCATACAAAAAAATAAGTAAGAATTTAAAGATTTAAACAACACAGTTAACAAACCTGAATTAATGGAATACCTTTCAAGCACACAGGAATTTTGTTGTTGTTGTTCACTATATTCTGAACCAAAAAGCAAGTATCAAGAAATTTCAAAGGAATAAAATCTTACATAGTATAAACTCAGATCACAGGGAAATTGTGTCAAAAGTACATAACCAGGGAAGGGAAACCTAGAAAATTTCCATATGTTTGGAAATTAAGGGAAATGAGAAAATATTTTGAATTGCTAATCAAAATTTCTGGGATACATACTAAGCTTTTCTTAAAAGGAAATTTATAGCCTTAAATGCATATATGAAAAAATAAAAGCCTGGAAATTAAAGAAGTAAGCATCTATCTAAACAGATCAGGAAAAAGAACTGCAAAATAAACCCACCCAAAATAAGTAGAAAGAATGAAATACTTGGGGCCGGCCCGGTGGCATAGCGGTTGAGTTCACACATTTCACTTTGGTGGCCGAGGGTTTAGCAGT